AAAATGTCCACTGTACCTAAGAGCTTGTCATATTTAGTTGGGCCTGCTAATAAATCCCAGTTGATCTCGGACGGGTTGAGGTCTCCATATACGATCTTATGCTTGTATGGAAGAGCGGATACTTGCTCCAGTAAATTTATAAGTTGTGTCTCGTAATCACTAAAGGCGCCAGGTGCTCTGTAGATACATCCTATTAGTAGTTTAGCACTTTTCAAGTGTACGTTGACCCATAGGGTGTCGTGCATGTCATTGAGTGCCCTATTATCTGGCTGTAAAACAGCAAGTGTGTTCAGGAAGTACATTACGCAGTCTCCTTCCTTACCACTGTTCCTGTCACATCGAAAGTGTGTGTACCCATCGATGCTTATCTCTTCGTCTGGTACATTGGAGTGACACCAGGATTCAGTAATAATGATTATTGGGGGTTTATACACCAGCGTCTGTGCCCCGAGCATTGGTAGTTTGTTTTGGATAGGTCTAGCATTAATAAGGATCAAGTAAAGTTGAGAGTTGAAGTAGCGTTTGAAGTATTTAAGCTGGCGAATCAGGCTTGAATGTGGATTGGCATCCACTGGTTCCGCATGGCATGACAACCCTGTGTTGCGATTAGTGTGAGTACCATGTTCACTTATGTCTATCGAGTTACTATCTATTTCTTTTAGTGAATGGTGAGTTTTATTATTGAATTCACTATACGACGAGGTAGTTCTAGGCTTGGGTAGGTTGGAGACTCGGCTGGGAGTTTTTATTTGACCTATGCTTGTAGAAGCATTGGATATGATTAATAATTCTGTGTGCACTAGGCTGCATTTGTTTTCTTCCCGACAGGAATTCGACATAAGTGGTATGGGTTCGGAAGAGCTAACATCCTTGCCAGCTGCCTGGCTAGCGCTGACAGGGATGTGATGGATAAAAAATCATTGGTACCTTGTGATACCCATGACTTATTAATCTGCCTATTGTTTGGGGACATTCTAAGCGACCTTACATGGATTTCGTTATATTTAATGCTGCACTGCGGTTTGATTCCCAGCAGATTTGTGCCGTATATTCTGTCAAAGATGGTTTGTGTTTCATACTTTGAAGACCCACAGTAGTTGGTGGCTGAGATCTGAGTGTTGCCACTTGTACTATTTTGCGTGACAGTGTCACTACACCAGCTAATAGTGTGACTTGACATAGTATGCGAGCAAGTTGTGTCGTTGTTGTCTGTGGACCGTATGGCCTTATTTGTGTTTTTAATTTTGTTGCTAGCATGGTTTTCAATAGTATTTACCTTAAGGAGTGGATTTTTCTTAGAAGTTTGAAAATGTTGGGGATTTTTCTTAACAAGTGGTTATTTTGGCATGCCTTGTTACCGAATTCCGTTTGAATTCCCACGTCATGTCTAGGAAAGGATGCTGTCGACTTTACAAGAGGTACTGATTTGTCTAGATCCGCAGTAGAGGGTGGAGGGAGTAAGATTATAGTTCACAGGTCTTTCGTTTGGTTTCTGCTACCATATCGCTAGTATACCCGGCTAGCAACGATTTCGGGCGCATTGCAGAACTTTGGGGCAGTCTTAAAGCGCACTGCAGAATGAAAGAGGCATTCGCATGGGCGGTCATTGGCTAGAAATCAACCAATGGGAGTAACCCGTATGTACTTCCTCAACCAATGACAGCTGACTTTGCTGAACTGCGTTACAATGAATCGTAATTAGTCATTAGTAATACATAAATTCAAATGATAGACTTTTTATTTAAGTAATCAATGAAATATACTTTTTACTATCTGAATACATCCTAATAGGCCTTTTCATCAGAAGTCTTTTACTGGACTGAAATCCTCGTTGGAAAACAAGCGGCTGAACTAACAGTTTGTATTTCGACTGCGGTGATTTACCTGGGTGTTGCCCAACATCCTTGTTTACGGATTTTTTGAAGTCATTCATTGCATACTTCTATGGTTTATATTAGACATATTACGGTACTGTCCATTTTCAAGATCATGCCAAGCGCATATGTTGTGTAGACTGCAGGAATCCGTTTGTCGACACTTTTTTCCATTTTTTCCAGCTAACATGATTTTTAACGATTCTTCGTCCAGCCAGACTAATCCACTAAACGACCTAATTGACAACAGACCATCAGCTAATGTCGAACCAAACCACCAGAAGCATTTGAGACCACGTAAGCTTATTTGTCAATTATCTGTTACGATGCAGCGGAAGCTAATTTTAACCTAAGAGGACATAAGTCAACGCCCTATAGGCGTCTCAAAAAATACAATCTGGAGTGGGAGAAGCATTTAGAAGCTAAGCTTGTTCTATCATTTTAATATACGCAGAATCATATGCGAAATCTCGTGAAATGAAACCAGAGCAAAAAATAACTCCAGGAAACATGTGTATTCCTCAAAACATTGTCGTTCCACTTGATGTTCCTTGTAATAGCATAGCATCTCCGCCGTCATTGGAGGAACATTAACCAACTAAACAATTGTCTGCAGCTGAGAAACCTGACCGGGGCGAGTGCACTTCACTGGATGCCATTCGCAACATAGTCTGCAGATGCAAGCTGAATACGGCTAATACACGTATTGAGTTGGAAGAATTAAGGTCCCTGCATCCTGACCTGCCGACTGACCCTGGAACATTGATGAGGACTTAAGACGTTTTTCAAAGGAGAGCGGTTGGTCCCGGGATATATGTTCACATTGGCTTTCGTCGTTAGATTGTGTGTCGGTTACAAATGACCTCCTTTCGGGAGACTGCACAAAGACATGATCACTGTTTTTCCTACATTCCAGTTCTCGTGGACATGTAAGTTCAATTTCATTTGAAATATTTCTTGCAGGCGCCTAGGGACTGAGGAGGCAGGTGCTTGCACATGTGGTTGTTTGGAAGAGCTAAGGGCTTTACGGTCACAAATAGAGTTACGCCTCTCTGTGATTGAGGCTAAGCTCTCGCGAGTCAAGGTTTTCGACAGCATTAATAAGAATATCTCCTGCCTCAATTCTGTTCAAGTGTTAAGGTCTTCTGACAGATGGCAGTTGGAGAGCGACACTATCATGTCATCCTTTGAGACAAAACTGTTCGGCGACGAATACCGTCGTAGTGCGTTAGCCAACCTTGGCACTTTAGTTGGTCACATCATGAATGCTTTGCTGGAGCCAACCCACATTTTTCATGGGCTGGTACCAAGGAGAAGAGACAATTCAAGGACACAAAAACGTGTAACCTTGTTATACTTAAGTGAATTTTTTTCATTGCAGTTTCTTAGGAACAATTAACAATTTACACCAATAAGGCAGTGCTGATCAACGTGGCGCAGTGGACGCAATCGTGACTTCAATTCAACGTTGGTTCCATAACATTCGGGACAGACTAAAGTCGAGAATGAGATAGCGACGACGTTCCCCTTTGGTGCGTCTATTTTTTTTCAAAATTCCATTTTTAGATCACGACGTAAACAAGGAGAACACACCAGATGCCAAAAGCACACGAATGAATGCTTCTGGTGATTTATATGATGTTTGACCTCTATGATATGTCGAAGGATTGTAAATTCATTTGCCAAGATTATTAAATATATGTTCCATTAAAATCAACTGCTTTTTAATATCATGAGTCGTTGAGCTACTGACGGTATGCTGATTTTTGAGACGAGCTATGCACATAATAGATTTGACTCTATGTTATTTGTCGACCAAGGATAAAATGCGGAACCGTAGGCACGTTGTCCCAGGCTTTAGTCAGTCTTAGAAAGTTAAGGCGCATTGCAGGATGTTTGGGGCAGACCTTGGGCGAGGGTAGTGTGGTGTATACTAACGCAAGTTCTTGACCATTTCCATACATGTATCAAAATATTGAGTGGAATGAAGTTATAATAAAATTTAAAGTTAATTAGATTATTTGTTCTGCGTAGACCAAATTCAAACCAAACAGTAAACTGACCGTTGAGAATAGGAAATATATTTTGGGATCAAAATCATAGTTCGAGGTCAATTGCTTAACTAGTTAGGGATCGTGCGCGAACGGACAAACGTAATACGATGGCGTGCTAAATGGCGCAGATGCTTGATCGCGAACCTTCAGCGCAACGAATCGACTTAAACAGCGACCATCAACATGCAACATTGAGTGATAATGACAATAATAATAATTTTGGGGAACTATTTGCAGCTAGAAATGTATGTATTTCGGAGGTATCAGTGCCGAAAGAAATGCGTTAAATAAGATTAAGTGAATTCATAGTCGACAACATCTGAAAAAATGTTGACGAGAACAAATTGCTTCATGAAGCATAAGACAGCTTAAAAGGGCATTAAAGAGAAGACAAAAACATGAGCTTTGAAGGATTGCACGTCATGCTAGAAAGTGGGCAGCCTTGTTCAAGAGAGCCCTACTTGTTTCTCCCAGTCGTCTGAAACACTTCATCAAGAAATCAAGTATTTTTATCCTGACTTAACTTGGCAACCGAAGTTTTCAAAATGGTCATTTTGAAGTCCCCAGCGCTCCTAATGTTATTCGATGACTAATGGACAAGGCTAGGCTACCCAGCTTCCGTTTACACTATTTACATTAAAAACTTGCTTACAGACCTAAACTTTGACTAGGTGTACACTGCGTAAAGACTGACTGGGAACTCGATCTTATTAGGATGTAGTGTCAACAAATTCTGTTTTGCACATACACCTATTTAGGCCTAATTTAAGCAGTCAAATATTTCTACTTCATTTATTTTTCGTCGCATTTTAATTCATGGCACTAATTGGGGTTTTAACCTAATCTGCCGGAAAAAACGAGAAGCTTGTGAGAAGACTGGCGTAGGTCACGGCAGATCTATGGAATCATGACGAACCAAAAGCTTTTTAACAACTCTATTTATATTCTGACGCTGTCGAAGTCTCCCGGGTATTTGAAAGACGAGATTCAGAACGTTTCTATCTGATGAAAAGTGTGGTTAAGTCGGACAGTATGGTTTACCTTGTGGAAATGACGTTGGACATTGAGATGCCGCCGAACACGTGAAGCGCGCAAATTGGATGAGAAACTTCGCGGGTTTCGTTGTATTTTCGGATGTTTCGTGGACTTAACTTCTTGTTATGGCCTAGATTTTCCGAGAAACCTAGCGAAGCAGTGCCAAACTAGCAAGACGCCCGCTGTCCGGGACGCACGAAGATGGACCGTTCATCAGTGCTGTCGATCTCATCGAATAACCCTATGTCGCCTAGTTGTTTGAAAATTGTTAAGGTTTTGATAGTATCAGGATATTACTAAATATTTAGGCTTCTCCTGAAGATCGAGATGTTCGAGTTATTTCGTCGAGGATGGGTATGTCGGTCGCTGAATTTATGGACGTCCTTGGTTGTACTTCAAGTGCAGCCGAACGAAGCAACTGTGATTCAGGTGGATTCGTGTGGCCTAAACACACTGAGCTAGGTAATGAGATGCCTTTCCGTTCATTACTACTCACTTAGAGGTGAGAGACCCGTGGTCTGGAGTTTACCAGTACGAACCATCCGACGTCAGCTGGTGTATTCGTTTCAAAGCTCTAGGATGTTATAAGTAGGTCTTCCAGCATATTCCTAACCTGCTGCAGTTATGTTCCTCCACCTTTCACAGATCGTTCATACAAAGTACCGACAACGCCTCAGCTGGTCCCTGACAACAAAGAGGTCATAAAAAATGATCAAGCTTCACCTAACAGTGCAGGGTTCCAAACGCTACTGAAAATGCGCCCACCAGCAGAGAAGTCTGAAGTCTTACCTCCCGAAACTATCACTCCAGCTGAACGTCACAAGTAAGATCTATTGATATACAGTCATATGCTAAACTTTTAGGCTGTGGGAGGATCTACTTCTTTCTGACAGTGATGAAGACAATAACGAGAAATCAAGATCACCAACTGCTGTTAAGACTACTATCTTTGAAACCCCAGCTGTGAATGAAGAATTGTTGGAAAAAGCAAACAGTATGTGCGCTGCAACGAAACTTGAGCTTCTCAATCATGCTTTACGACCTCCACCTCCTTTTGTTAGTCCATTATCTATCATAAATGATGAAGGTTCAGGGACTGAATCTCTTGCTCCAAGTCCTCACAACGACCAGGTGTTATGTTCACAAATAAATCAACAAGAACGGTTTAATGACTCTCGGAACGTTCCAGAAGTACATAACGAACCATCAGTGAAGTGAGTTGCCTTCTTTTATACCAATTCGCCTCTGTCTTAACAATGCGTAGTTTTATCTGTTTAGTTTCCATTTTAGATACCTTAAACTGTTTGATAAGCTGAACACCTTTGTTCTTAGTTAAATCATATTTTGCACTCATCCAGTATTTCTTCTAAATAACCTGTCTTTTATGGTTGAGAATAGTAGGCTAGAGGTAGTCTGTTAAACTTTTCAGCAGACGTCAACCTGGAGACCCAATTTTTCTCTGAAGTCATTTAACAAATGAGTCGATATCTTCTGATTTGGAAGTGGTTATAATCTGTAACCACTCCATGTGGGAACCTAAATTCCAGTCACAACTAATTTGACTTCGGTATTAGTACATTTTTATGCTGACTTCTCATAGGCATCGTGAAAGGACAGAAATGTTATGGAACGTCAGTAGTCAAGTCACTATGCAGTATACCATAAGCTAAAATAAGATCACCTTTCCTTCCACAATATGATATTTAGAGTAGCTTTAAACTTTGCATCATCTAATCATGAGAGTTGTGTGAAATTTTTATGTTAAACCTAATGCCTATTCTTTATACTCTTTCCAAGACCTGTCTCTTCCTTTAAGCAGCATTTACGTAGTATCCTAGATTGAGTTAAGCATATTATCGTGGATATATCCCCACCTTATCATTTAAAAGTCTGATATCCTTTTGCATGTGACTTCTATAAACGCTAGTCTGCTTGTTTCACAAGGAGAGCACGCCTATTATTAAACATCTAAAGTGGCTTTGAATACAAAACATTATGAGTAAGCCAGCGGACCACATTTCTCTATGCCCTCAGATATTATTTACTGCAACGCAATATTTTCATTGATAGTATCGATAATTCAAATCATAATACCTAATTTTAGTGACCATGTTGCTAAACAAATTAGTGTTCTTTTTAGAGAGTGCATTTCTAATAAATTCATGCATAGCTTAATCGTTAATGTCAAGATAAAACTATTCAAGGTACTGAAGACTAATCCCCAGTTATCTGTTTCAAGCCTGTAGTTTTCATGCTGAATAACATCTGACTCGTAGCAAGCATCAGGGATTTCTAAAGTTGAGCCTTTCCACGCTATATATGTGCATTATTTTATGTTTTCTCCTCCGTAAATCTTTCATGTAATAGTTAGGTATGATCTAGCTGCTATAGCATTCATTCTCATGCATTATATACATGAAATATTCGTAATCTGTCATAATAGCATCCTACTTGTCTCTTAAGTAATCTTGCATTATCCTACTCGCAGTTGTGGCGATGTCTGGTCGTAAGGAGACTGTCGAGAAAGTATATCGTACTAATTAAAACACTATTTAAACTCACAGCCCTGTAAGAGCCGTCGTCTGTAGTAAGCGGTGTCCACCAGAGATGCCCAGTGTCTCCAGTTTTGTTTAATTTCCTCATTAATGGACTAATGCTGTCTGTCTGTCTGTCTGTTTTCGACATAGAACTTTGCACATATGTGCGGCAGTTCAAGTCGCCACACTCCATGTAGCACACAAAGCAAGAGAAGAAAGTAGAAATGCATAATATAGACAGTAAACAGAGGTGTGAGGCAAAGGAATAGTAATAACGGAGATGTAATGCACGGACTAATGCACGTGACACTAATTGACTATACCAACTCATGGACTGACGTGTTACCAGCGAATAGTCTCATCAATTTCAAGCATGCATATGCTATGATCGTAGGTGTAGACTGACAAAATGCCGAATCTTCCGAACATCTTTAGCAAACATCATCAAAAGTATAGCATGTGATTGGCACCTGCAGAATGTAAGATGATGCTGCATGACTGGTCTGTACAGACTTCTAGTTTGAAAATAAAAACTGAAATGGCTGAACGTGTTGACCACCTACTTAGGAAATTGCAGCAGCTCCAATGAGTTGGTTGTTGACGGAATCTCACCTCGAATACAAAAGACTCAGGTGGTGTTTACCAAGTTGGGACATCTCTGGCGTAAATGTGATGCCCGACTGTCGATCAAAGGACATGTGTAATGCACCACAGTTCTCACTGTCTTCGTAGCTGCCTTAACAACAGGTGTTCGTTCAGTCTCTCATGTTAGGTGGTGTAATATGGTGAGTAGTATCGAAGTTAGGCATAGTGTTAGGTTAGGATGGTTAGTCAGTTGATAAGGTTGTGGTATGTCGATTAAGATGGTTAGAACACTTGGTACTACGCATGGTGGGTCAACCCCTTCCTCGTTGAACAATGTCAGCTGACATGGGATTAGGTTGGAAAAAGTTAAAGATGGTTAAATCAAGACGTAGCATTAATCTATGAAGTCTTTGATTGTTGGTTTGAGCTACACGGGAAGGCTTAGATGGCCTGGTTGGGGTCCTCGAAACGCTTGAGGCTTCTGGTAACATAGTTCAAAGTCGTAGAGGCATTCACTTATTTCAGTCTCCCATATCTGCTAAGTCCTCATGTTTCTCCATGTACCAAATTAAAGTATGGGCTTAGAATGTTGTCTGACAAGACGCTGAAAGCTTCACACCTAAAGCGTTCAGCTCAGAGATCACCACTACACCAAAGCGCCTGTTTCAGTCAGTATAGACAACCTTCATTAGGATGATATGTACCAGGCATTCATTTCAGAAAGTGACAGCCATCAAACAGTCACCTGTATATTTCCTTTGTGGGTTTTGTCGAGTGTTCTAAGTAAGAAATACTCATTCAGTCTAGTTTGGTCCATATATACTTTCCTCAAAATCGGTAAACGTTGGTTGACAATGAGACCTAACGTCTTACATTGTTATATTGATCAAGCCCAATCCTTCTGCGGTTGTCACAAGAAGAAATCCGATGCTTATTCAAATATATCTTTGTGCATCTGTTGATGGATTTTTAAACATAGTTCTTCCTATCACTTAATATTCTCTACTTATTTCCTTATAGGAGGTTGTATCATGCATCTTGGAAACGAGTAACACTATTGTGCTTCTTCACTGACTGTTTGTCCAATGGCTTGTTCACAGTTTCTCATTCACCTTCGTTCTTTATTTATAATTCTTAGTGTTTACTTATCGTTTTCCACTCACCACTTCAGTTCACAGCATCACTAGGTAGGCTATTATATAAACATACGCATTTAAAATCTGTATTTTATGATATATACACATATCCCCCTGATCACCTTTCATAGTTTTTGCTGCTAGGTGCTTACTCATAGTATTTTGATATATAGGGAAAAAAAGTTTGTCATATTATCTGACAGTGTCATTGCTGTGATATTTCAGTTGTTTCCCCTGACAAGTCTAGGAACCTATAATATAAAAACCCAAATTTCTAAGATTTAGATTTACATGAGTCATTATTACATGGGACAGACATATTTACAATTGGTAGCCAGCAGTTTCACACTAGCTAGCTAGCTTTCATTTTTGGTTGTAGGTATATGTTTATATATATCTCAGATTCTTGACTCCTTGACTGCAGAAAGAAAAACACCCAATGACATTAGTGACTGACTAACTAACTGACTGGTTTCAACATAAAGCTTTTGCACAGATGTTCAGTAGTTTGAGTTGCCAATCTCCACGTAGCATTGAAAGAAGAGAGTAAAGACAAGTACAGAAGACAGATAATAAACATAAGTGGGAGTGAGCGCAAAAGAATTGTAATAAGGCAGAACAATAGAGTTTTATTGGGTATGATAAATAACAAAGAGTGAATTCATTTGCACCATCAATGAGAACGAGGGTTTTGAGCCATATCATCAATTGTCTCCAGCCGCCACTGGTTCTTACTATCCCCAGGACTCCAACCAGTCAGTCAAGAAGTCTACACATCCCTACGTGGCTAGCTGCCTGACTGGCTTAAACTAATTGTAGTGGATTTCATTGACTGTTGAAGCCATGTTTTGGTTTGATTACCACTAGCTTTCTCTTTCCCAACATGATCAATCCTATGTCAGCTATCATTGCCAGTTGTCGAGGTAGACGATGACTAAGCATGGGTAACACTTCTAACCATCTCAGTAGGTGTAATTGCACAACCTAGTCGATATCAATGGTGTTATCTAATGACGTCATGAAGTAGTTGCTTTACTTGTTGTTGCATGACTTTAATTAATGTGTTCTGGAGTGGTGAGTAATCAAAACAATCGAAATAATTATGTAACAAACACTATGTCCACTGCTTCATTGAGGCAGTACAGAGGTAGGTGAGTTTTTTTACAGGAATAGCTGTATAACTACTTTTGTGTAAATTAGACCAAAATATTGTCAAAAGCTAACAAAATATAGAAGGGTTATTTCTCAATTGCTGTACTTGATAATATGATTGTCAGTATATTTTGACTGATTTGGCATAAATGGCTAATATGTGTCGTCACAAATAATGTATTACATGTGGCTTATTTGTTAAAGCCATTCGGCTCCCAGTTATTCGGTACTGGTTTCTGTCCTAATCCACCTAATTCAGTCTGGACAGCTGAGTAGTATCATTGGCTATCATGTAATAAGTGTGGCTCGTAGCCTGGTACATAAGAAATATATTCCACGGAGCTGATATATGTGTAAAACTTGGGCACTGTGGTCGTAAGTAATTCCATATTAGTTTGTTTATTAGGTATATCACACACTGTTTCACTGTGTGATATACCTAATAAACAAACTAATATGGAATCCACGGAGCTGAGTTCTAAAATTGTCCACTGACGTCTACCAGTTTGCCCTCACTCACTCTCGACCGAGTTGGCCTTAGTGGTCACAACATCTCACGAGAACTCCAGTCAACACCGTCCTGCAGCCGGTCACTAGCGAGCATCAGATTAATTTTGAAGAGTCTGTTTGCAGGGAGTAAGGTAAAATACTCGTCAGTGGTATTGCCTGGAGCCAGTCACACTGAAACCACGAATTTGTAGAAGTTAGAATTCATGGAGTGGCCAATGAATCAGTTCCCAGTGGCTGAATAGTCTACGAGCTTACCTTATAACTGGAAGGCACTGGGTTCGATCCCAGGTGGGTGGGTACTGCTGAGGAGTCACAAACTAGGACTAAACAGCTGTCCAGTGCTGGTTTTCAATGTTTCCCTAAGCAATATCAATCCGTAGTCAAACTAGGAGCAAATCAAATCCCTACAACCGAACTCTTGAAAATGTCCACTGACTTTACTATCCATTATACAGCGTATATTAGTAAATGGTAGTTTTGTTAAGGGACGTGTGTACTGCTCAGCAGTTCGCTCCGTCCTTCTCTATGGCTCTGAAACATGACCAATACGAGTTGAAGACATGAAAAGTTTGACTGTTTTTGATCATAGATGTCTACGATCTCTTTCTCACGTTAGGTGGTATAATGAGGTAAGTAATGTTGACGTTAAGCGTAGAGTATTGGGCAAAGAGGGGAAATCAATCGAAGAGGCTATGAAGTTATATAGATTGAGATGGCTAGGTCACGTGCTGCGCATGCCTAGCCATCGCCTCCCCCGACGGGCATTACTAGCTGATATAGGTGCAGGTTGGAAAAGAGTAAGTGGTGGCCAAACAAAAACATGGCATCAATCCATGAAATCCCTGACAGTTAAACTGAGTCAGGTAGGGAGATGCAGACTTCCGGGTTGGGGCCCGCCCTCGGGACTCTAAGAATCAATGGCTGGAGACAATAGGTGACATGGCTCAAAATCGTTGTCAATGGCTTACGCAGATGTATTCAGTCTCTGTAATCTTTCATATTCCTTTCTACCATTACTCATTCTGTTTCACTCTTATACTTGTCAAAACTCTATTGATTCTCTTCACTCATTTTCTTGTCTACCTTTGTGTGCTCTTTGGAACGTGGCAACTCGAACTGTTGCACTTCGGTGCCAAGTTCTATGTTAAATCCAGACAGAAATGGTAGTTTTGTTGGGAAAACTTGAGAATTCAAAATTAATCAGTTTGATAAAACTAAATTTTCATTTATTATTTATTATTATTATTTCATTTTCATTTATTTATTTATTTATTTACTGGTCGTCACGACATAGTTCACAAGTTCGTTTAAGTGCATGTTGGCATGTATCTTGAGAAGTAAACCGTAGATGTGTGTCCGACTGAAATAAAATCACTTACTCGAGGTGGCATTTTCGTTAATCGAGCAGGAGGGAATCCTTTTTAGATATATATAAGTTACGTTTTTTTGTTGTTGTGAAAAATCACCGTAACACTTATTCATTTTCTTTGTTCCATTTCAATTAGCAAATCGTCATTGGCGGCATCTGTATCGTCTCCTCGTGAATCTGAAATCTTCAATGCAGAAAATATATCATGTAAACGTCTTTCAGCAACGGTTGTAACCTCCGACAAGTTGCCCACCTCAGCTCAAACCACAGTTGTCAGTGATATAACCAACATTCCGAGCAAATTACCGACAACTGCAAGCACTATACCCCCTAAGACGATATCACCAGCAATGCCTAAACCAGTCATAGTGTCAAGTGATAAATCCACCAAAAGTGAAGTTGTACATAAACCTTCTAATGATATGATCACGTCTACAGGAAAGGAGCTTTACAGTCAACATTGTAAAACTCCTGAAGCTAGAAAAAGCTTTATTCAACGTTTACTTTTAGAATCCAAAGAGTTTTTGTCACAGAAAGATTCTCTATTTGTAGAGCTTAGTCCAATTCACAATAAGCATCAACAGAATGTTGTCAGTTCGCCGAAAATATTACCGCATTCAGAGTCAGGGAGAACAGCATTTATTGAACAGAAATCGGCGGAAAAGGCATTCGATGCAACTGATACCAGTAAAACTCCTTTGAATCATATGAACGTAACAAGCAATTCTTACAAATCATCACTTCAAGAAGGTGTTCAGCAGTTAGATTCTGTTGTCGGGCAATGCAAAATTACCAGTCAACAGTTATCATCTCATCATCATGATAAACGAAAAGATAGTGTAGAAGTGAATGACATTACTAATCCTAAGCTTTCTAAACTAAATTCTTCTTCGTCTGTTTCTCAGGGAACACCGAAACCATCACCTGTAAAGAGTGATAGTCGTCCTTCAAGCCTTTCCAAGCTCACTAACGATGAGCTTTTACGTGCTGTCAACTTAAATCTTGGATTGCATAAGCCTGACATTGAATCAGAGAAACTGGATAAACTGGAAGTTGACGAAATCAATGAGTCCAAGGCAAGTGTTAGTGGTATACAGACTCCGGTTACAAATCCGGATAGTTGTCATAGCAATGCAAGCAGTGTGAATAACATGCCGCCACCGACTCATGATTCTACTGGTAAAAAGCTGAAAAAGCGGTCCAAATTTAGCACAGAATTAACTTCAGACACAATTTGTCAATCACCTGCCATCTCTGAACCATCACAAGAAAATGTCGATGATAAAGAAGAAGAAGGAGATTCTACTTTTGTAGCTGAAAGCAATCAAGACACTGCAGGCATTTATCCTCTTCGTGACATTCCATCCGATTGTTGGGTATTCTCCGACTTAACTGTAACCAAAGTTCGAAATGCAATACAACAATCTTTTCCTCATCATGTATTGAATTCATCAGGTACAACAAAGGATAGTGATGATGCTCCAACTGACCTGACATCATCAGAGGATTTAATTAAGAAAATGAGAGATATTCTACGCAGCGCCATTGAAAGTGACAGTCCAATCAATTCAAAGGCTATTTCAAATAGACGTAATCGGCCAAGATCCCTTACAGGGATACTGTTAGTTCCACCTTCTGGTTCACCTAGCCCATCATCACCTGAAACAAAACTATCATCGCATCAGTCCATCGATATACCTCAAAAAAGTTACTGTGAAATTTTCACTATGACATCACCCTACTGTCATCCGACTATTCCATCAGCTGATGCAGATATCCAATGTGATATATGGCCCAGTAACAGTAGTAGTAATAGTAACAATCTGTCTACTCGATTCGCTTCACAGTGTTCCTCTGGTATTGTTAGCACGCCTACACAAAAACCTTTAGGCACTGTACCACCGATTCTACGTGATCCTACCTCAGATCTGACAACATTATCATCGAGCACAACTCAAAGCTTGCCTCATTCAACGCCTAGTATAAATCTTGTCGACAGTTTATGCTTTATTGAAGAACAATTCGGTAGAATTATGAAACAGGAGGATGAAAAGTAAGTTCGTTTGTTTTGTTGTTAATGATTACTTATTTTAATGCGTAGTTTTTTTTGTGTACATAGTTTATGCCATTCTTTAGCTGCAACTTAATCCCAACCCCTTCCCTCATTTAAGTCATATAGAAGAAGAGACGTTTAGAGATATCATTTTCAAACTGTACAGTCGCATAGTTGTTTAGAAAATTTGTATTAGCAACAAAAGAAGTGTTTCCAAGAACGCATCATTTAGTCACTAAGTCTACAATGGTCCTACCTAATTTGTCTTAAAGCTTGATATGTAATTTTTGTTGGTCTTTCAAATCAATTATCTGCCCTCCCGCCGTCCTTCCGCACTACTACATTTCTACTCCTTATGATAAAATCGATCTTAGCTTGACTTCAATTTTAGTGGAGTTCTGCTCGACCCTTTCGCAGTTACATTACCTCACACATTTTACTTCGATGATTTTATTTTAGTTTCTACGCGTTTAACGTAACTGTTATCTGAAACTTACAATTTTAGTTACATCTTTGGAAACATTCCTTTTATTGCTGCGAATATACAATTATACAGCTTGACAAAAGTTTTCTTTGTAATCGTTTGCTGCTGCACCCAGTATTTGCGGGATTCACGGCACGTGTTTCTGCCTATCTGGGCATTATCCTTTTTTATTTCTTTGTGTTCCGAGTGAAACAATGGTCTTTAAGATTTAATCTTTCAAGTTTCAGTAGTGATGGTATTGTTCTCAGCGAGGATACAGAAGGTTCGTTTTGCATATGCTAGTTTATGCCATCTCTGGCGTAGACGTGATATCCGGCTATCGACCAAAGGGCGAGTGTACTGCTCAGCAGTCCGCTCCGTCCTCCTTTATGACTGTGACACCTAGCCATTGAAAGTGGAAAACATGAACAATAGCCTGTCTAGCTGTCTTTGATCATGGGTGTCTGCGCTCCATCTCCCATATTAGGTGGTGTACTACGGTGAGTAATATCGAGGCTAGGCAACGATTGTTAGGTAAGGAGGGCAAGTCAATCGATGACGTTGTGAAGTCACATTGATTGAGATAGCCTGGACATGTGTTACGCATGCCTAGTCATCGTCTTCCTCGACAACAGGCAATGTTAGCGGACATAGGATTGATCAGGTTGTAAAAGAGAAAGCTAGTGGTGATCAAACGAAGACCTGGCTTCATCAGTCAATCAAATCCATGACAGTTTGTTTGAGCCACGTAGGGAGGTGCAGAATGAGTGACTGGTCGGGGTCCTCAGGATGATGGTAAGGAGCAATGAAGGCTGGAGACAATTGATTATATGGCTCAAAATCCTCGTTGTCAATGGCTGGCTCAGGTGCATCTACTCTTTGTGATTTATGATACCCAATAAAATTCTATAGCTCTTCCATATTACCAATCTTTTTGCCTCATATTTCTGTATATTATCTCTGTTTTGACTCTTTCTCTACTCTCTTCTTCTCCTTTGTGTGCTACGTGGAGTGTGGCAACTCGAAGTGCTACATATCTGTGCAAAGTCTACCTTGAAATCAGTCAGTCAGTTGGTCAGTTATTCTTCTTTTTACGGCGTGGAATTGCCAACCTCACGCCATACGTTCCCTCTTTACTGGGCCTACTATCAGGTAAGCGAAGTTTAGAAGTGCATCTGCCGGGGATTGAAGCTGGGACAAGCACACCCGTAACTAGTAGACATTCTACCCCTGAACCACCAGCTGACTAGCATTATCTATTAGGGTAGTTGGATCATAAGCAATCATTTCAACAGTGTGTATTAGTATTTTGATTGCACACTAGTAACTAGTGTGACGTGTTTAGTCCTTTCTTTGGTGCAGACTGAATTCTATCAGTCAGGTTTTGCAATGTGGCCACCATTCTAGGTGTGTATTAGTTTTTATTCCGAGTTAATTGAACAAAATTCATGATATCCTTTCGATAAATATTTCATTGTTAGATTGTAGAAAGTTTGTTTATGTGTAATGAATATGAACAAATTATATGACATCAGTAATATCGTTTTTTTATGGTGGTCATATGACATGATGAAATTTTATGTTAAGGTAACATGGGAGACTTTTTTTAGCTCAATATAAGGATGGAAGTGGTACAGTATTGTCTTGACAATAACGTCAAACTTAGTAGTGAAAGTTCCACGATCTCTTTCTCACGTTAGGTGGTATAATAAGGTAAGCAATGTTGACGTTAGGCGTAGAGTGTTGGGCAAAGAGGGAAAATCAATCGAAGAGGCTATGAAGTTACATAGATTGAGATGGTTAGGCCACGTGCTGCGCATGCCTAACCATCGCCTCCCCCGACGGGCATTACTAGCTGATATAGGTGCAGGTTGGGAAAGAGTAAGTGGTGGCTAAACAAAAACATGGCATCAATCCATGAAATCGTTGACAGTTAAACTGAGTCAGGTTGGGAGATGCAGACTTCCGGGTTGGGGCCCGCCCTTGGGACTCTAAGAATCAATGGCTCGAGACAATAGGAGACATGGCTCAAAATCGTTGTCAATGTCTTACGCAGATGTATTCAGTCTCTGTAATCTTTCATATTCCTTTCTAGCATTACTCATTCTGTTTCACTCTTATACTTGTCAAAACTCTATTGATTCTCTTCTCTCATTTTCCTGTCTACCTTTGTGTGCTATTTGGAACGTGGCAACTCGAACTGCTGCACTCCGGTGCCGAGTTCTATGTTGAATCCAGCAGCAGCAGAATAAAAATTCAAGGACGAAGTCACCTGGATTTCTAATCAATGTTGTGACCAGTGGGGTCGATCAGGTCATCCGGGTGTAAGGCAAAAAAATACTCGCTAGTGACATTGGCTGTCGGTCGGATCATGTATATCGAATTAGTAGAGTTCCATTATGGGTAAAATTTATTTGAATAAAATCTCACACTGTTATACGGTAATATTTACTACTGATGAGCACGTTTTGAGCACAATTTTTTGCTAATAATCATATCAAGATACTCACACAACTTTGTAACATTGTTATAAACGAAGTTAGAAAGTTGTGTGAGTAGTGTCTTGATATGATTATGAGTGACAATAAGTTGTGCTCGAAATGTCGTCAGTAAGTACTACTGTATAACACTGTGAGACTTTATCAAAATAAATTTTACCCACTATGGAATTATACTGTACCACAGTGCACAAGTTCTATTTTATATCAACGAATTAGTAGAAATTGGAATTCACCGACTGACTGGTCATTGGGTTCCATCCCAGTGGGGCTGTGAGTGATCAACAAGATTGATTGTCTTGTGGTCTGAAGGCGCTTGGCACACATGTAGTGCTGAAACTCCCAAACTGGGATTAAACAGCTGTCCCGTTACTACCTGGTTTTCAACGGTATCTTTAAATAATGTCAATCCGTTGTCACACTTGAAACGTGGTAGTTTTCAGTACATTGCATTGTTTCACCTTGGTGAAAATAGTATTGTGGCGAGTGCTGCTGATAAGATTTATCAGTAGTATGTAAAGAAGCGTTCATTGGCATAAAAAAACATCAAATAGCAGGGAGATGCAGTTGATTTCAGAGAGAAGGCAAATGATACAGTGTTGTCGAGATACATGAGAGACGACGTGAAAAGAGCACAGAGAAACACAACATGAATTCGAGAAGCACCACAACACGAAGATCTGTGCGAATGGTGCGTTGAAGATAAGGTGTATATATGGTAGACTGGCAGGTTGTACTTTCTAAACTTTTTACAGAACAGTTTAGTTTCAATCTTCAATTGATGTCATGACTTTTAGTTAGAATTATTGTCGTATTTACAGAAATCTTTGACATCCCACTGAATATAATGCCTACCTACAGTATATCTGTGTACTGCTATCAGTAGAAGTGTAGATTAAGAAAAGATAGTAGTTTTTGTTTTGGGATGACTTCTTTCATCTTTCGAACTGTGAAAACCTTTGGAAACCTTTAGTCATAAAATAGAGAAGCTTTGTATATAATCTCTCTAAATTTCATACTACTATTGTTAGAAGTGATATATAACATATATTTAAAAATAGAACTTTGGCACTGTGGTAAAGGTATAATTTACATTATGGAGGAAATTTCATTTTTGTAAAGTCTCATGGCATTATACAGTAATATTTACTACTGACGATGAGCACGTTTTGAGCACAATTTATTGCTACTGCTCATAATCATATCAAGGTACTCATACACAACGCTATGACTTCGTTTATATATATACACGTAAAATTGATTGCACATATGATTAAAATCAATAAAATTCAGTGTAAAGTTCAATAAACACGTGTGAAACAGAAAGGAAAATAAATTACATTCTGAAATGATATTAGTATTATCAATAAAAAATATAATAGAATGGAAAATAAGACGAGTGTTGTTAGTCACCAAGGTGAGGAATAAGATGTTTTGTCAGTAGAATAAAATAAATAACATGTTAGAGTGTTATAATGTGAATTGAAATAAAATTTTAGCATTGCTTGTTATGCCCTGATTTCATTGGTAATGATATCTTCTATATCCCTGGTATTTGCGTTGAGTCACTTCCATTGCATGTTTGGTTGTAGATTTTGTGAACAAGGATTTAGTAGTCAACCTCTCTCTCCACCTACCTATATTACTTTTTAGAATTTTAACCCTCTCCGACCCTATTGTGTGGTTGTGTGTTAATGCATACATTGCAATTCCTGAGCTTTTTTGTGAATCACTTATCTTCTCGGGGTCAACCATTCTCACCTTAGCTAAATTCTTATGTTCCGACAATGTGACTACCCCTGATCTACTAGTTTGACCTATGTAGTTGACCTCAGTCACTGTCATTGCAAGGTATTTTGTAAATAATATTATTTTGTCTAATCGGGTCAACCAACAGTGTCCTTTAACCTACAAAGCTTGTCCCTGAGTGAGTTTGTAGGTTTAAATGCCACCACCCTAATTCCTCCTTTATTAAGAATCCTACGTAGTGTTTCACATGTCCCCTCCGTATACGCCTTATATTCTTTCTTACTTGTGTTATCATTATTAGTTTCACCATTATTTCTATTTTGCTTTTGACCTTTTCTGATCTTCCTAATGAATTTAATCAGATAGTAATTTAATACCAACGCTTCTTCCATCTGTTTCATTTCATCATTTAGGTGTTTTGTTGTAGTACTTGGTGTTGTTATTGCTCGGTTTGTTAGACACTTAAATAAACCTGCCTTTACGGATAATGGATGAGATGAATTAAAGTCTAAATATCTATTAGAATGCGTGGGCTTTTTTATAAACTCTAGGGTGCACTTTACCTTCTTCTGTTCGTTTTATTTTAACACTCTACTATAGCTAATTCTCCTTGTTTATTTTCTGTTTCAAACGTGAATTTTATTCCCTTTACTGTTGAGTTTATGTGTGCTCAAAAGGTCATCAATAAATATTACTGCATAACATTGTGAGACTTTATCGAAATAAAATCTCCTCCATAATGGAAGTAATATATAACTTTCTTGAAGTATTTGTATAACACGCTTACAGTCGGCAGTGATCTTTTGGTCACTTCACTTATTTGGGAAGTTGCATCACCTCTGACGAACTGATTGCTGACGAAATCTCAGTACGGATACAAAAGGCTTGTGTGGCAACTTGCCTGCCAGATTACGTCATCTCTAGGGGAAACGTGATATATGGCTGTCGATCGAAGGAAGCGTGTACTGCGCTTTTGTTCTCCCTGTCCTCATGTATGGCTATCGGAAGTGGCAGATGTGAAAAGGCTAACTGTTTTTAATCATGGGTGTCTGCGTTCTATCTCCCGTGTTAAGTATTATAATAGAATAAGTCAAGAACAACAGTGGTTTGTACAGATTAATATGGTACCATCATTTATTTCCTTGGCTTCTCATCAGCTGCGAAATCCTTTAAAATTATCAATAGACAAAGGAGCTCGATTCTCCTCAAGTTTACCCAAGCGATTTCTATTAAACGCTTGAAACCAGATTTATGTGTTCAGAAAGAAGCAGTTATTAGTCTTTCCTTGCCCACCTGGTAACTGGATGTCTTTATTCTTTCTTTCACTTGATTACGTAATCTTTGGCTTTAGCATCACCCCTTTGACATAGTGTAACTTTGCTTGTCTCTTGTTTCTATGATTTGAGTCCAACTCGGTAAATTGTTACCTAATTTATGAGTTACTCATCATCTTACACATCTCTCGTCTTTATTACGCAACTCCTTTGACGTTGTATGCATACATTTATTTTGTTTAAACTTGAACTGCCTGTGTAAAAACTATATGTGTAATTTTTTGAGCACTGTTTACTAATTGCGGAACTTTCTGTCAACTGACATCATGAAAAGTTTGCAAGTATGTTAAAGTGTTTCTGTACACAAACTTAATAATTTATTCAGGCTGTAAGCAGCTGATGAGAAGCCAACGAAATAAACAATGATGGTACCATATTATTCTGCACAAACCGCCACTGTTGTTCTTGCTTTATTCAAATAGAATAAGTGATATTAAGGTTAAGTGTTGAGTGTGGGATGAGGACAGAAAGTCAATCGATGAGGTTATGAAGCTACATCGGTCGAGATGGCTAAGACACGTTTCACTTGCTGAGCCACAGCCTTCATCGGTGAACAATCTTAACTGATATCAGATTAGATTGGAAAAGAGTTAGGGGTGGTGGTCAAACCAAAAGCCAGCATCATCAATCCATGAAGTCGTTGACGGTTGGTTTGAGTCAGTCATGTAAAGAGGTGTGGACTGCCTGGTTGCGATCGTCGAGACACTAAGAACCAATGACTTGAGACTGTTGATGACATGGCTCTGAATCGTTCTCAGTAATACAGATGCATTCACTTTTTGTGATCTCCCATCCCCCATTAAATCCTCATGTTACTATTCTTTATCCCGTACATTTCTGCTCAGTATAGTTCCTTTGATCTCTTCTTTCTCTGTTTTCTCTACCTTTGTGTGCTGTATTGAGTGTGGCAACATGAATTACTTCACCTCTGGAAAGTTCTATCTTGAAACGTTGTCAGTCACTCAAGTTGGTTACCCTAGTGTCCTGACTCATTTCATGTAAATTTTTATTATATATGGTAGTCTGACATGGATCCACATTTTTCCATATTAATTTGATTCTTTCCCATCTGGTCTCCAGTTATTGTTTATTTTTTCTTTCAATTTTTCCGCTAGATTGCAAAACAGTAATGCTTCAACTGAAATATTCAAAGCAGAAGAATGCAAATTCGAAGCATCTAGATGTTGGAAGTCATTAGTCAGTGCTATATCTTCTACCTCTCGTGGTAATAATTCCAGCGAATCATCGAATCGTTCTCAGATGCTACTCACCTTACAAGCACTTCATGAATATCCTGTACAAATGACTAAATCTGTAAGGCATTATCTAGCCGCTGCGCATATTTTTGAATCAAAAAATGAAACGAACAGAGCTATTGGTATGCTTACTGAAGCAACTGAGCAAATTCAGCATTGTGTACGTCGAATGCATCGTGTTGAAGCCAAGCTGACAAAACGTCGAAATCATCGTAATGAATCAGGAAATTCACCTGATAATAATAATAATAATAATAATATGAATGAATTAGCATTAAAAGTTAAACGGGATGCTAGTTGGATGTACTTATGGTATTATGTTTTAATGAGAATTAAAGCTGTTGTCGGATTTCATATATATCGTTTAAGATTACAATCTATTGAATCATTACATGAAGAGGTAAGTTTGTGTTCTGTTTGAATTTTGTGTACTAGAGTGTTTTGTCTAATCCCCCACCCCCCGGGTTCATTGAACGGTTTTTTAACCGCTTATATGTTTATTAACCGGTAGTCAGTGTGACAATATGGTTTACAAAAGGAAGTTGGAATTTATGGGCCGTTGAATTGAGTCCCAATGACTGAATAGCCTGTGAATTTGCTATGTAACCGGAAGGTTCTGGGTTCGAACCCTAGCAGTGGGTGCTTACTGATGATGAGTCCCAAAAAGTAGGCTGAAGAAACAGCTGCCCAGTACTTTCTGGTTCTCCAGTGGTTCTCTAACTGATATCAGCTCGTGACCAGACTTGAAACAAATGAAATCCCTAAAAAAGAAATCTTGAAAATAAGAAGTACACACTGTTTTTGCATATCACTTCATTGTTGGGGTATAAACTTGATCATTACGGTAAACCGATCACTAGATTTTCATAACCTCATGAAACCATGGGTAACAGTCGACAAGGCATATCAACCATTTTTGTGACCAAAATAATAATGATAATAATTTTCTTTTATTCCTTCACGTTCCCAGTGGAAAATAGGGCTTCAAGCTGGAGGCTTGAAGTTTCTGTAGCAGTGTTTATTTTTACAGGATGGGGTTGCTAGCCTCATACCCAACCTTTCCTCTTTACCAGCTTTATTTCTGGTCTAGCGGGGCAAAGGAGTGCGTCGGCCGGGGGTCTAACCCGGGACCATGTGCATGGTCGGCGAGCATCCTAACCGCTGTGCCACCGACACAGCTTTATTCTGGAAGTTATATTTAAACAACGCTGGCTGATTGATTGGTTTCAACATAGAACTTTGCACAGATGTGCACCAGTTCGAGTCGCCACACTCCATGTAGCACACAGAGCGAGAGAAGAGGATAAAGAGAGATAATAAACAGAAATATGAGGCAAAAAGATTGGTAATATGGAAGAGCTATAGAATTTTATTGGGTATCATAAATCACCAAGAGTAGATGCATCTGAGCCAGCCGTTGACAACGAGGACTTTGAGCCATATCACCAATTGTCCCAGCCTTCATTGGTTCTTACCATCATCCCGATGATCCCAACCAGTCATGCAGTCTACAACTCCCCTACGTTGGCTTAAACTAACTGTTATGGATTTGATTGACTGATGAAGTCATGTTTTCGTTTGACCACCACTAGCTTTTTCTTTTCCAACCTGATACATCTTATGTCAGCTAACATTGCCTGTTGTCGAGGAAGGCGACGACCAGAAAGGCATGCGTAACACATGTCCAGGCTATCTCAATCGATGTGACTTCACAACGTCATCGATTGACTTGCCCTCCTTACCTAACAATCGATGCCTAACGTCAATATTGCTCACCCTATTATACCACTTAGCACGTGAGATAGAACGCAGACACCTATCATCAAAGACAGCTGGCTAGCTAGGCTTTTCATGTCTTCCACTTTCAATGGCCAGGTCTCACAGTCATAAAGGATGACGGAGTAAACTGCTGTAGAATTCTCAGAGAAATTTCTTGCGAAATATTTACTCCCCTACGACATTTCCCCCTTATTTTCTTCTTGAAGTGCACATTGATAGATTAGAAGTCAGTTAAAAATTTGCGTTAGTTCACATTGTGATTCAAGGACATAATGTAAGTGTAGAAATTGGGCACTGTGGTAGAATGTAATTCCATATTAGATAAACTTATTTTAAATACCCACACAGTGATGCAGTGCCAATAACTGGATGACAAGGTTTCGAGCATAAATTATTACTACTCATAATCATATCAAGTTAGTCACACAGCTTCACAATTTGTCTTACACTTTGTCGGAATGGCGCAATGCCCAGACCGGATATATGGAAAGCGGCAACAAACACCAAGGTGGAGAGAGAGAGAGAAAAAGACATTGTGAAAGCGTGTGACTAAATTGATATAATTATGAGTGGCAATAATTGATGCTCGAAACGTCATCCAGTTGTTGATACTGCATCACGTGTCAGGTGATCCACAACGGAAAACTCAGTGAGACGTTTGAAGTGAATACAGGGGTAAGACAAACTGGCTGCTTATTATCACCGACCATATTCTTAATTGTGATGGACTGAATTATGTGTCAGACTGTAGGGGGTGAGAAGAGAGGAATACGTCAGGTCAATAAGAGGACTCTAGAAGATCTGGATTTCGCGTGTGGATGATATATGTCTAATGTCACACCAACTGGAAGACTTACAGGCGAACACAAACAAACTGGCAGAAGAGGCCAGCAGCGAAGAAAGGACTCCAAGTGAACATAGAGAAAATGGGGTTAGTGAATATGACCAACGAACCGCAGCAACCAGCACCAATCACCATAAACGGGAAAGATTTAACAGAGGTTACTTCCTTCCCTTATCTATCTAGGAAGCACGGTTTCAACCACAGCCAGCGGAACGGATGAAGATGTGAAAGCCAGCCAGAATCGGGAAGGCAAGATTTGTCTTCATCAATCTGAAACCAGTTTGGAAATCTTCTGCTGCACTCATCCAGCCCAAAGAACACGATTCGGCTTCTCAACAGAAGTGTGAAGTCGTTCACTTTTTCTATACAGGTCGGAAACTTGCACTGCGTGTCAGTCACGAAGAGAGGATTTCGAACAAGTTACAGACTTTTATCAACAGCTGCCCACTTCTCTGGCTGGGTCGATACTGAAAATCAAATGGTCGGTCGGAAAGAATTAGCAACAAGAAACTCTGGTTGGCAACAAACCAACCAACCAAGAGCCGATTGCTCAGCAAATATGTAGGAGAAAATGGAGATGAGTCGGGCATATATTGAGGAGGCCGTCGCTCGAGTGGAATCCGAATGGGAATCGACGAGTGGTGCGAGAGTGGCATGGAGGAGGTCCTGTGGGGGGAGGAGATAAGAGATTATAGTCAGTCGTTTACCCAGCTGAAGAGGATAGCAGAAAATGAAACATAGTTGAGATGTGTTGTTGAAGTCCTATGTTCCACTCGTAACCCAAGGGAATAATAATAATCATGATATTGAATCCAAGGGCATAATTGAAACGTTAAAATAACAAGAAATAGAAAAAAAGTTGATACATTATTATTCTGGATAGAAATTAAGGTGGATCGATAGTTTAAGTAGACTGCTAAAAACATCTACTCAGATGCCTTGTAGGTGCACATGTAACGTTCTTACACACTCTAATACTTATGATTCTAAAATTAAATTTAATAAGAAAACTCTAATACAATAGCGTCCAAATATAGTCTCACTACTCTTCAATTTTCATATTCAATTAGTAAGGCTACTGACTTCAAGAAATAAGTTATTTTCTGCAGTTCTCTTCGTTAAGAACCAGATTAATTCAATAAGTTGTATTACACTCGGTGAATCACTTCAACAGTCCAGTAGTGTTTACTAGAGAAATATACAGAAATGCAGGTGTGGGGTAGTCAACTAACACAATTGTTGAATCACCCTTTCACAAATATCTTCCACCCATTTTCAGCCTAATTAAATATCTCTTATGTTCACTCACACGCACACACACACACACCTACGTGAAATTTGGTCATATTTGTAACACAAAAATAGATTACAGCAATAACACACAAGCAGCGTGTACATACTAAATGAGTAGGATTTAGCTTAAAAATCTTTTGCCTTTTGTGTGTAAATCAATATATTCAAAAGTAATCGATTTAATTTAAAAGTACACGATAATATTATTTACTCTAAGGCGCAGGCATTGTTTATTCACAATTTATCCTGTAATAATCACACAATTGTCAACAATTTGTCAGTTTAATTACTTTTCGAGTTAAGCCACGGATTGATATCAGTTAAAGAATCATTGACAAAGCAGTGTTGGAGTACTCAGCAGCTGTTTCATCCTATTTTGGGACTCTTCACAGTATGCACACACGCTCATTAGTTCGCTCCGTCCTCCTTTATGGCTGTGAGACCTGGCCATTGAGAGTAGAAGACATGAAAAGATTAGCTGTCTTTGGTCATAGGTGTTTGCGTTCTATCTCCCGTGTGAAGTGGTGGTATAATAGGGTGAGCAATATTGAGGTTAGCCTTCTGTCGAGTGCTAGGTAAGGAGGGGAAATCAATCGACATGACTGTGAAGCTACATCGACTGAGATGGTTAAGAAATGTGTTACGTATGCCTAGTCATCGCCTTCCTCGACGGACGGGCAATGTTAGGTGACATAGGGTCAGGCTAGAAAAGAGCCAGTGGTGGTCAAACCAAAACATGACCTCACTAGTCAATGAAATCCACAACAGTTAGTCTAAGCCACGTAGGAAGGTGTAGACTTCCTGACTGGTTGGGGTCCTCGGGACGGTAAGAACCAATGGTCGGAAACAATTGGTGACACGGCTGAAAACCGTTCTCAATGATAGCGCAGATGCATCCACTCCTTGTGACTTATGATTTCCAACGAAACTGTTTTGTTCTTCGTTATTACTATTCCTTTGTCTCACACCTCTGTTTACTCTCTCTATTATGCATTTCTCCTACTTTCTTCTCTTGCTTTGTGTGCTACATGGAGGGAGTGTGGCGACTTGAATTGCCGCACATATGTGCAAAGTTCTATGTCGAAAACAGACAGGCATGCACCCACCGTTAAGGTTCAAATCGAAGACCTTCCAGTTACTAGTCAAGCTCGTTGACCATTCATTCAACCACTGGGACCCGATAATTCATTGGTAGAAGTAAGAATTCATGAATCGGGTCCCAGTGGCTGAATGGTATACAAGCTTGCCTTGTGATGGGTTCGAGGTCCAGTGGATGCTCACTGCCAATGATTCCCAAACTAGGCTGACGAAACAGCTGTCTAGTTCTCCCTGGTTTTCAATGGTTCTCTAGCCTGCCTATATCAAATCCGTGGTCTAAATCGAAAAACAAATCAAAATCCTTACGAATCAACTCTTGAAAATTTAATTATTCTTTATTCCATAGTACCATTTCATAAGGATAGTTTGAATAATAATAATAATAA